TGCACAAATTTTGCTATCAATAAAATATTTGATAATTTGATGTACTTATGTCTAATGACAATTTTTGTCCGCTAAATGGCATTTGCCTTACCAAAAATTTCATCAGTTATTCATTTCGTTAATACAAATAAAATGTTTTTGAATCATACAAATCGAACGCTGCGTTCTCTCAAACAATCAATTATTATTTTTGGCACTTTTTGTCCCGTATCTGCGAAACGGCTCGGCCTTCCTTTAGCAAATACTAATGAGCAAGTCTCCTTATTAATACGAATCGAATGCTTTTTTAATCATTCAAATCGGTTCACTCGTGATCCCGAAATCGTCGACGAAAATTTGTATCCGCACGCACACACACACATACATCCATTTTTTCTAAGGTATGCCAAAATGTTCAGAAACTGTTGAAACGTATAGATAAATAAAAATTTTTGTTGTGTTGATTTATTTAGCGATAACTATAACTTACCCCACGGGAAATTAATAATAACGCAAACCAAAAATTTTATGGTAGTTATTTCATTATCTATCACCCGTAAAAAATGACGCATCTGCACAATTCTCTTCACTCCGTCAAGCTATAGAACAGTAGCTATGACAATATTATGGGGGACGGTTTGAAATTTTAGATGTTCAATCGAGGTATAAAAATATTTTAATATCATTTAAGATTCTATTACAAAACGCTTATTACTGCTTACCCCTGTTACAAAAAGCCCCAAGTTCTTCTATTGCACATTTTCAAAAGAAGTAATCAAATAGAGATAGACCAACTGCTGCGTTGACTTCTAAAAATCAATCAAGTACCATATTTTTACTAGATTACTGCATATCACATCAGTTTTTGTTTGATAGATTAATTCCATATTTTATAGTTTAACTTTTGAGCTCCTTTGTTGACAATTATGATACCACAAAAAATATGTAAAAATATACCTTCCGGCTCTCCACCTACCCGATCCATGTCTAAGAGACAATCACATACCCAAGACCTAAAGCTCTGTTAAAAACAGAACAAAGCGCAGAATAGCTGCCAAGACAGATATCCACTAATAAGCATTTTGATATAGCACATGTGTGGAGAAAATATAAAAAATGTACGAGGTGTCACCTAGTACGCAAGATATATGACTTTGTTTCGCGAACTTTATGTCCTGACTCACAGATGGAAAATTATTAGGTGTCGGTGTGGTAAGCCATCGAATAAGAAGTTTTGTATTCTTTATTAATTGTACTAATTGTTAATAGATAATATAAATAAATATATAAAAAAATGAAATAGATAAATGCACTGTATTTTGCAATTATTATTTAAATTTTTCTAGATTTTGTAAGTTAGCTCGACGTTATTTCTTTCATACATAAATACATACACACATATCTTATATATAAAATTCTTCTGTAAAGATGTATGAATGGAAACTCCTCCTGCACGGTTTTGACAAATCTTTTTGAAGTTTATTAAGGGATTTTTTTAGGATTTAGATGATTATGAAAATATAGTAATCTTATATGTAAAAATGAATCGCAAAATATGTTGGTAAGCGCATAAGTCAACAACGCCTGGACCAATTTGGCTAATCTTTTTTTTAAATGTTCGTTGAAGTCCAAGGATGATTTTTAGAGAAAAATTCGAATAATTGCCGGGGAAACCCAAAAAACAGCTCTTTTCTTTTTCACATACAAACGTTTTCTAACTAAAACGTAGAATCGATTTGAGCTTCATTGCTATTATATAAAGTTTATATTAAATTACGAGCACTCACTGTATATTCCTTCTAAACGATTATACGGATTTTGATAAATCTTTCTGAAGTTTGTTAAGGAAATTTGTATGTGATTATAAAGTACTGGGATGTAATATATGTGTAATATTATAGAAATAAATGGAAAAAATGCAAAATGCAACATGTCATTGTTTAGTGCAATTCTTCATTGTTTAGTGCATTTTGGCATAAAGAGTAATTTAAAAAACAATAATTATTATTTTTAAACAGTGAATATTAGTTTATTATATTAAAAAATTGCATACATGGGTACAGGACAACGTCTGTCGGGTCATCTAGTATTGTATAAATAAATTAGAAAAATTGCAAAAAACAACATATCATTGTTTGACATTGAAACATTTAGACAGAACTGCCAGAAAGAAAAAATGCAAAATGCAACATGTCATTGTTTAGTGCAATTCTTCATTGTTTAGTGCATTTTGGCATAAAGAGTAATTTAAAAAACAATAATTATTATTTTTAAACAGTGAATATTAGTTTATTATATTAAAAAATTGCATACATGGGTACAGGACAACGTCTGTCGGGTCATCTAGTATTGTATAAATAAATTAGAAAAATTGCAAAAAACAACATATCATTGTTTGACATTGAAAACATTTAGACAGAACTGCCAGAAATGATTTCTGCCAGAAATATCATTGCACTTGTAATTTGAATTTGGGTTAAATGACAATGACCCTGGATATTATTAGAATATAATATATTCATAGTTATGAATAAGAAAAATGTAATGTCTACATTGTTATTGCCGAAAAGCTGCTGAAATATGCAAGAAATTAAAATAATAAAAGATACAGTATATATTTGGAAAGACAGATTTTTTTCCCTTATGCATGTCATATCTTTCCTCACAAAAAAATTTACTCTGTCAAAAATTATTTAAAAGTTTTATTGTGTCAATAATTAATTTGTTTGGCATTAGATGTATGGAAAAGTTAGTTAGTTGATCATAATTTGAATAGTGCATATATGAACAGGATTTGATAAATTAATTCACTTAAAATATGAACTTAATTAATAATGAATAATAAGTTATCAGTATGATTGATGTTATCAAGATATTTTATTACTAAAAACCAATTGAAATATGGTACGATATTGTAAAAATTATAGGCAACATTATTGAAGAAATTATTTTGGGTGAAAAAATCCAACGTGATAGTGTACTTTTACCGCGGATACTATAAATATAATTCTTTCTGAATTTGTTATACTGTATAAAAGACTGCAATTTCCAAAACGAATATCTTATGATAAGACCATAAAGGAATCACAAAGGCAGGACATTAAATAGTTTATTATGAATTATAGGTTGGAATATTGAAATTTTTTGGAGTTTTTGAATTGTGTACGTGGATAAAGGACAACGTCTGTCGGGTCATCTAATATATATATTATGTATGTATATGCAGTAAGACCACTTGTTAAAATTTTCCAATTTGTGTTATCGACATAAAGAATTAAAATCTCTACGGTTTATTTTGAGAACAAATTTTTGATTTTTACCAAAAACTACTATAGATACATTTGCATGTAGAATACTTCATTGAATTTTATCAATTCTTAGTTCAATACGTATGTATGCTGATGTTAACTAAAAATTAACATGTAGTAATAACATTCTGAATTTAAAAACATAAACCAATACTGTTCAATAGATGTGTTAGCAGTGCAAATATTCTGTGATTGACGTATTAGTCACCAGTTCGATTAGTTCACAATTAACTGATTATTATAGGTATTTATTTATTATAGTTGGATAAAACATGGACAAAAAATGTGAATCAATAAGAAACAAAGTATGTTCGAAAGTCGAGAAATCAAAAACAGTTTCAATCGAATCATCAGATCAATCTTAAATTATACTTTCACAACTTATTATTATAACTTATTAATTAATATATCACAAACTTAGAAAATGAGGTCACTTTGGTCCACCTGATACTGCCAGGTTCAGATAAAGCGTTATTTGATGAACAAAACTAGCTGTAAGTGGAATTCTGTCTTAAGGCAATTAGGGCATCGTGCCTTAAGGCAAATTGCTGGAACTTCCCGTACCAAAAATTATTATTTTTTTAAAAACGATTAACATGTTTGAAAAAAATTTAATCAAAAAAAAATAGATTTGAGAAACTACAAATTTGACAAAAAATTACTTTTTTTGAAAAAAAAAATTTATATGAAAAAAAAAAATTTTTTTTGGATACAAAAAATTTTTTTGAAAAAAATGTTTTCTTCATTTTGACATATTTTGGAAATTCTGAACTTTTTTTCGAAGCAATCGCACTGCTTGAACTGCATAGAGACGAAATATCAAAGCGCGCATTTGCCGCGCCGCCGTCCAACGCATAAGCATTGGTACGGAACCCATAAAAATGTAAAAAAAACAATATACTTATTGTTAAAATTTCTATAAAATATCTGATAATTTGATGTGCATATGTCTAATGATAATTTTTAACCGCCGAATGGCATTATTTTTTACTTTTTTCATTAGATCTCCGAAACCGCTAGACCTACCTCCATGAAAATTTGATCAATTCTACATCTTGTCAATACAAGTAAAATGTTTTTTGAATTATTCAAATCGGACGCTCCGTTCTCTTAAAAACGGAGGTACCGTTCGTGGCACTTTTTGCCCCGTATCTTTGGAACGGCTAGACCTGCCTTTGCCAAAAACTAATCAGCACGTCTCCTTATCAATACGAATCGAATGTTTTTTGAATTATTCAAATCGGTTGATCCGTGTTCCCGAAATCGTCGACGAAAATTTGTATCCGCACATACATACACACACGTATATACATACATACATACATACATACATACATACACACACACACACACACACACACATACATCCATTTTTTCTAAGGTATGCCAAAATGTTCAGAAGGTTTTGAAACGTCGAGAAATGCAAAAATTTTCATTTTCGATTTTTTTGCGATTACTATAACTTACCCTACGGGAAGTTAATAACAAACTTGATAAATTACACAAATTTGATACAAAGAAACATCTGAATAGAGAAACAGTCTAAAGTGAATAAATTTCAAAGTAAACCACATCACTCCAAGCACTGACATTCATTATAAAACATTCAGTAAAATCCTTATTGATAAAATTGCATATGAATGCACTCGTTGCTCAAAATAAAGTAATATTGGAAAGCAAAAAAAACTCGTAGTTTAAAAATCAACACGTTACCTGACTGAATAAAATCAACCATCAAAAGCTCATAGTATGTAGTTCTTTCTTGAATGCGTTTTTCGGTTCATTTAGTTTCAATGATTTCTCGCTTCGAGCTACATGTACCAGATGCTGCGTTTCGCAATATTAACATGAAATTCTGGAAAGAAATAAAAATGCATGAGCGCTTCATAATATTCTGTTTTAATTATTCTATGATGTTTTCTTAACGTAATATATGTACATGCATTTTTGTAATATAGAGATAATGGGTAATACTGTCCTAGTGAAGGTCGGTGAGCTGAGTTAAACTCCAACTCGATTTAAGGAAGAATAGTGAGAGAGATTTTCCCTTGCCGATTCACACCGCAGTGCCCAAAATGGGCTACTATCATTTGAAATCTATATTTCAAAGTTCAAATTGATAACAATACTGCATGATATCAGGTTACCTAAAGCAGAAGTTTGAACTCACAAGGCAGGGCACTTTACTGTTACACCATGGAAATAACTTTATAATATTTACCTTTATATTGATTAGGAACAATATTTTTTTGAAGTTCATGTCATCGATAACCTTGTAGGTAAATATTTCATACTAGAATATAGCCAATAGTAAGGATTATTCCATACATTCGAATATTTATTTAAATAGGATAACATACCTTCAATTATCTAAAAATTACATTTTGCAGAATGCGTTTGTATAATATCTTAACTATACGCTTATTTAACTGCAATAAGTATAATCAGATTTACAATGTAAATGTAGGGGGAAGTCCCCTAGTGGCGGACACCTAAAGTTATTTATAAATAAAGCAAAAAATATTTCACGAAATGTTTATTAAATTATGATTTATATTAGATAAGAAAGTTAGAAATCAAACTAAATTAAGAAAACCGCAATCTTTGCTAAAAAATAATGAATACTATCAATCAAACTTTGGTATCAAAAAATATGATTTTAAACAATGGCACCTAGTACCGGACATTTCAAAATAACCTGCATTGATTACGTACGTAGCCATCTCCACACTTTGGAATGTCTGCACATGTGACTTTGACGAATATTCTTAGATATTGCAAAAAACAAGAAACTTTAGTAATTTTTGCTAATATGTAGCGTATGGTTCGTTTTTGGTAGGCAATCCAGAAGTTGACCTATACTGATGATTTTATATGCTGCTATTCCCACGAAAAGCGATTTCACCTGAGGTTATGTTTGACAAGTTTAAACTCTAGTGAAATTTGACATTATACTGCTTGATGTCGAGCTTGGCCGAGGTTAGGTTCGACTACATTGAATTAGCCCCTGTCCTTACCGATTAGGCCACAGCTGGCTCAATTTTGTACTTTTGAAAATATTTATGAATTCACTATTTCACACATTACTGTCATCAGAATGACTAATTATCATATTGCACGCAAGTATTTATACACCATTGCATACATGCACACTATATAAGCATTTGGAAAATAAGCAACTCCATTAAATCATGCAATGTAAAAAAAATCATGGAATATATTTTTGCTTGCATAAATATACATTTTTATAAACCAACGAGAATTTTCTTTTACATTTTCACAATGCAACGAGAATTTTCTTTTACTTTTGAATCAGAGACAGATGGACGCCGATATTGTATTAACATAGTATCCTTGTTATTTCCAATATTATTTTTGTTGTTAAATTTCTTAACCAAATTGAACTATTTAATGCAGGTTTCACCAACTTTATTGGAGCAATACCATTGACTAGGAATTAAGCGTATTTACGAGAGCGTTATTAATTATTTTGTTGCCAAAGGAAATACCTGTTTGTTTCTAAAGATAAATAGGTTCATCAAATATAGGGGTCCTGAGGGAAATTGAGAGTCAGAAGAAAAGCTTTTGCATACAACACAATTCTTCATTGTCATAACAGGCGTGTAAAGCCTACATTAATATTTACAGAAACATATTACGATGTGACATTTTATTAGATTATGAGCCATTATTCACAGTGTGGGACATATGAATTATTAACCCGTATTTAGAGACCTTCTAATTTAACTTTACCTATCTATCGTTGACTAAATTTGCGATGAAATTATTTGGCATCATTATGATAAAATATTGTGTTATATCATATGTACAGTTAGCAAAGAATGTAAATATTCTTATGCTTCTTTTAAAAAACTATCAAAACAATTTTATTCTCACACAATTGACTCATTTGACTGGTATTTTCAACAGGGATTAATGAAGTTTAAGGTCAATCTTCAGAATTGAGTGATTTAGGTTTAGAATTGTGTGATTTAAGATTGCTTTTCCCCAGACAGTGAAAAAATAAAAAATATCATTTTTACAAATATTGCAAAACTAAACTTATTTGTAATGTATTAATTGTTTCATTTGTCATCTGAACTATTCAATCATATCATGCCACATAGAAACGTAGCAGGATACAGCAAGTATACTATACTCGTATATTGGCCCATGTATAGTACACTTATAGTGGTCAATAGTAATCGAATAATGTAATTCACAAGCTGTATTTAAATATATATATATGCGTTATTATGTTCACAAATAGTAATTATTGATCGGAATTTATTGTGTATGATACGTACATTATTGTCACATTAATTTTCATGCCTACGATATTACAATAATTTACCGTTTTTGAATATAATCGAATATGCATAAAACATTGCATCTGTTAGTAAACATCAATATTAGTAAATAGACCCCATATATGGCTATATAGAGACCCCATTTATGGCTGTATAGAGACCCCATATATAGCCAGATCCTGATGTATACGTCTGGATGCGACCAGGACAGCCCCGGATTTCTCTCTTGTATCCCGGGTTTAGATTTTTTTGTCCCGGATTGTTTCGTGTTTTTGAAAAGTATGAAGTTTTAATTGAATCTTCATAATTACTTAGTAAAATTACAACTCTTCAAGTATCTGAAAATAATATATGGAGAGAGAATGCTTACATGAAATAATAGGTTATCAATGAGAAAATTTGGCCGAATGCAAAACTTCAAAGGCGGATTAGATTAGCATCTTACATTAATAATTTATTTATTTTTTTATTTTCAACAATTATGAAATAGAACTTATTGACTGAAGTTTGTATTCGGCGTTTGAAGAACTTCATGTAATTAAAATTAACATACATTCATTGACTGATGTTTTTACTTTTATATTTTTACTTTTTCGCTGGCGATATACAGCTGTGAATATCTATTTTGCCTAAAAAATATTTTCCATTTCAATAACCTCAAAGATTTATAGAAACTACAAATGATATAAAAATTATTTCAATGAACTTGCTGCATTTGTTTTATTATTTTCATTATAATTATTCACGGCGCACAGTGTAAAATATTCTTCTGATTCAGGCAGTTTGCATTAAATCAAGATTTGTACTACGATGTAACTTTAAAATGTTTATTTATCTATGCCGATTTCCTTGTTGACGCATACAAGGTTGACGACGGTACGCATACAACGACAGATCTCTATTCACATTCGCGACGACTAATCACAATCGACTCGTATAGAAAAGATATCATCGAAAGCGAATGGCGAATCATTGGCACTCTACCTTTATCTTATCTTATTTGCCGTAACGCACTTCCGTTGCATTTGTACGAATTTACATTCTAGTCGCGCCTAAAGTAGTTTTACTTCAAAAACAAATAAAAAATTATAGGATGAAATATAATAGCTAATAGTATCAATTTTATTACAAGTCAAAAATCCTGAGTAACATGTGATCTATCACACAGGCTTGTTTACAATAATGATATTTTAAGTTTGCGTTTATAAATCTCAAATCTATATACTAACAATAAATTCTTTTCCCTTACTAGGCCATTTACTACGTCAAATATTGGTTGTTATTTACTAGGTTTGGTCTGACATGTTAAATTTGCTCCGGCACGGCCATAGCATATTTCCTTGTGCATCATACAATGTGCAAAACGTGCTTGCTGAACCGAGGGAAATATATGATCGCGTACATGACTATTTCGTTTAATTAAAATTTCACTCATCCCATCGGATACTAAGTATGAGCTTTTGGACGGTAAAGAACGCGATGTTACGAGTATATAAAAGAACGAAATAATTTATGGCTATTGAATATTTATAGATGAATATTTTTCACTATTCTGTTTTAGCATATGGTGAAACTATTCATTTATAACTGAATGTAGAAACATTGTTTCGTAAGGGTTATTGAAATCTTCTGATTATTTTAAAATTATATAGGAAACAAAAATTTAAGGTTTATAAGCTAAATATTGAAATTTAAATTCTAAATCAAATTTATAAATTACTGCACGACGAGTATCACCATAAAAAATAAATAAATATGAACCTCTATCCATCATTTGCATCCTTTACAATTGGCTCATTTGTTAAGTTAGCCAATTAAGATTATATTATGTAGTATATATTTTTTTTTTAACTCGTTTTATTTAGCAATCAGAAATACATAAAGATTCCTATGAGCTAAAATGACAATGTTTAAGAGCGATGCCTAAGAAGAGCTCCAATGAGATCTTCTCAGTTTAACAATTACTATAATAATATATTATGTAGTATAATGATAGTATATTATATGTTTGAATGTAACGGTCATAGTGCAAACATACAAGTTGAGTATGAAGTTAGCTGTGAAACTAGATGAAGGTCAGGGTTTAGTGTTTGTTTCGGAATAATAATAATGTCGATTATGATGGCGGAGATGAATTGTGTTATGTGTAAGTAAAGTGTCGTATTGTTTTATTAAATATAGAGAGTTATTGGTGTTGTTAAAATAAATTCAAAAAGATTTAAATAATCCAGCGGGATTACAATTAAGAGTATATTAGTATATAAAGAACTTTGAAATTTAGTCTATGTACTGTAAAAATACCGAATAACAATAGGTGATAACGTAAGTTGTTTCATTAAGATTTTTTTAAATGCACTTAATCAGAGTTTAAAGATCCTTTAATCCTATAATCCTATTAGCTGGTGTGCTGATACTTTTTGATTACGGAGCATTTTAGAAGACATCTCAACTGTTGGCATATTTATTTTTCATACATTTTTTATTGGCAATGCTTTAACACCGATGATACATTTTATTT